TAATGCCACGGCACTCTACCCAGGGGGACAGCTTGAGGCTCTGTCTCAAAAAAAAAAAAAAATATAAAGGCTGACATTTTTTCCATGCTTAAAATTTAATTCCAATTTCAATTTGGAAAGTTTGCTATATAAACTAGGTAACTAGCTTGCATTAGTATATTTTTGTCCATGTTAGAGGACTAAAGTGATCTCTATCATGCTAAATATCAATTTCATTGGATAGAGTAAGTTTTTTGTTGCTTTCTTTTCTTTTTTTTTTTTTTTTTTGAGACAGAGCCTCAAGCTATCCCCCTGGGTAGGGTGTCGTGGCATCACAGCTCGCGGGAGCCTCCAACTCCTGGGCTAAAGCAAGTCTCTTGCCTCTGCCTCCCAAGTAGCTGGGACTACAGGCGCCCGCCACAGCGCCTGGCTATTTTTTTTGTTTGCAACCATCATTGTTGTTTGGTGGGCCCAGGCTAGATTCGAACCCGCCACCTTAGGTGTATGTGGCTGGCGCCTTAGCCACTTGAGCCACAGGCGCCGAGCCTTTTGTTGCTTTCTAAAGTCTATTTTATCTGTGATTAGTATGGGCTTTCATTCCTGTTTTCTTTTGATTCATGTTCACGCAGTATATCTTTTCCCAAACTTTTACTACTTATGTAATTTTATTTGAAGTGTATTTTATTATACACAGCATATAATGTCATTGCCTTTTTATATTCACATTGCCAGTCTTTATCCTTTTTAAAATAATATATTTAGATCACTTACATTTAAGGTAATTATTGCAATGGTAGGTTTTAAGTGTGGTATTTTATTACTTCCTTTTTGTTTGTCTCTTCTGTTTCTTCTTCCTCTGTTTGTTTTTGTTTTTGTTTGTTTACCTACTTATAGTTTACTTGAAAAATGTTTAGGATTCCATACTAATTTATTTATGTTATTCTTAAGGATATTGTTTTTATTTCTAGTGTTTGCTTATGGTATTACCATACTAGCATATCAGTTTTACCACACATTACTTGAAATACTCTTTTCCCTAGGGATTTGTTATTACAGGGACCACCGCCCTACATTGACCACTTCTTTAGTTCACCTAATTTTCATAGACTGCGTATGTACCTCATGTATATATTGGTACAGTAGGCCTAGTTTTATGTTGACCAGTTTGTTTCAGTCTCTTGGATAATCAACTTACAGAGGTTCTATTATATTTCTTTGGTTATTTGTTTAGTGGTTGGATCCATTATTTCAGTAGTCTTTTTTAATTCATTCTCCATCCTGTGCTTCACCCCTCTTTCCCCCACATTGTTAAATCTTTGATTTTACTCCTCAGGGAGGCACAGCTCTGGATATGCCCACCTTTGTTTTATTGGTATGACTTTCTTCTTTTTCCTTGACCACCTCCTGTTGTTAAGTTCTACTCTTTTGTTTTTAACAATCCCCCAGAGTATATATTGCCTACTGTCCAAATTTTAGGTCCCTTTAAGGAATAGTTTCTGGGGTTTATTTTTTGTTTTGTTTTTTTTTTTGCGGTTTTTTGCCGGGGCTAGGTTTGAACCCACCACCTCCGGCATATGGGGCTGGCGCCCTACTCCTTGAGCTACAGGAGCCACCCCCTGGGGTTTATTTTTGATATTTATTTTGATCCCCACAAGGCTGCTTCCTGCTTCTCCCTACAGACTATTTGCCTGTGGTTCAGACTGTATCTTCATTATGGATCTCCTTTCAGTTACCTTTCACAACATCTTCCATCTTGTTCTTGAGAATCCCATTATTCTCCATGCTCTGATACAAATGAAGTCAGTTTCTTTGGAAAGAGATTAAAAGCTGTTTTATGACCTGTTTCTTTTCTCAGGCAGACTCTAAGCCAGGGGCTCTGGAACTGGAGGTGGGAAGTGGTAAACTTATCTCTGTGTGACTTGGTTGCTGAGGCACTGAGCACTCAGTGAAGGTAGGGGTGAGGGTTTGGGCAGTAACCCAAGGAATTCTTTTTTGCCTTTCCTGTGGTGGAACCATTACCTCACAAGCCAGGGAAAGAGTAGTGTGGTATTCTTACAGGTCCTGTGCCCAAGGTAGAGACTTTGCCCACAAATTGGGGGCCAGGCTGAATAAGTGAATGCCTACCTCTACTGTACTTGCTAAGATTTTAGCCTTAGCAATAGGTATCTGGGGACAGAATGAGAAAATCTGAAGTCCTGTTTCTCCTGGGAAGAAAAACCTTCAATTGGGAACTAGAGAGAAGAAGAAGACTAATAACCCTGTGTTCTTGATGGGAGCCATCTGCAATGGAGTCTCCTTCTTGCTGAACTGGGAAGTAGGAAAGAGGAAACAGGCTTGGTTTGAATACCACACACAATTCTTTCTTACTGAATTTTTGTAGATTTTCTTAAGTATATGTTTTATTTGCTTTTTGCCCCAGAACCATTTTCTAGACCCTTTCAATGGTGGTTGTTTTATAATTTTCACCAAGTTTACTGGGTTAGCGTTTAGCAGAGCTTCTTATGCTGTCATGCCAAAAATCAATCTCTGGAATGGTTTTAAGTACCTTGGAATTTTTTTTTTTTTAAAGGACTATAGAATTCTTAGGTGCAAAAGTCTGGGTCTACAGCTTTTTGGCAAAGGAGTGGAGCTCTTAGAATTTTTTTCTGTGGAAATTTGTGTATATTTTATCTCTTTTCTGAGGTCAGTATTGGTAAGTAATATTTTCTGAGAAAATTATATCTGTTTGTTTCAGATTTTAAGCTTATTTGCATATAATTGAGCTAAGTAGTCTTTTTTTGGGGGGGACAGAGTCTCAAGCTGTTGCCCTGGGTTAGAGTGCGTGGTATCACAGCTCACAGCAACCTTAAACTCTTGGGCTTAAGTGATTCTCTTGCCTTAGCCTCCCAAGTAGCTGGGACTACAGGCTATTTTTGTTGTTGTTTCTGTTGCAGTTGTCATTGTTGTTTTAGCTGACCCTGGCCAGGTTCGAGCCTGCCAGTCTCGGTGTATGTGGCCAGTGCCCCTACCCACTAAACTACGGGGACCACCGAGCTAAATAGTCTTTATGATTGTCTCAATTTTTTCATATATCTGTGGTTGTTTCTTCTGGGGCTTCTTTTTATATGTACTTTAACCATTATTGCAATTCAGTAATGTAATGAAATAATACTAAATAATACATTTGTAATGTAATGAAGTAATACTAAATCATTTGTTAATGTAACGAAATAATAATAATACATTTGTAATGTAATGAAATACTACTAAATCATTTTACCTCCTACAGCTTTACTGTTTATGATTTATTATAATCAAAATTTCAAAATTTCCAAAATAATTATTTATTGGATTCTTAGTATACATTAGGCACTTTAAATTTTGATTTATTTAATCTTTGCAACAGCCCTATGATATATATACTAATAGTATCTTTATCTTATAGTAGAGAAAATTGAGTCACAGTGTGTAACTTGTCTAATTATACCAGATGTCATAATTTTCATTTCTTTGTTGACTACAAGAAGTTTCAAATTATTTAAAGCTATTATATAAATAGATAATTTGCTTCCTAATGTCTTTAATCTACATCACCATATAAAAAAGTAGTTTAATTCTTAGTTGTCTATAACAATATAGTTTGTGTCATGAATTATTTCACTGATGATAGTAGTGGAGAAAAAGTGTTACCAAAAATTTCCTTCCTTAGTAACCAGCTATTAGTACTTAAATTTGTAGTTAGCATAAGAAATTTTCTTTCAATGGAATATTTATATTTGGATAGTCAGTGTAACAATTATGACATTTTAAATAAAAATTTTAGAAATTAAAAAAAATCATAACATCGTTACTTTATTTTTGCATATTGCCCTCAAGTTTTTGTCCACATGCCCATTTTGTATGTGGACAAATAATGCATCTTTTTTCATGTTCTGTATTTGTCAAAGTGAGCTAGTAAAAATACTTTCAAAAGAAGGTAATTTGGGCGGTGCCTGTAGCTCAAAGGAGTAGGGCCCTGGCCCCATATGCTGGAGGTGGCAGGTTCAAACTGGCCCCCTGCCAAAACTGCAAAAAAAAAAAAAAAAAAAAATGAAGAAGGCAATTTAATAATTCAAACAAAAAAATTTTTGGTCTTTAATTGTTTTTAACAGATTTTATGGAAGTTTAAGGAGTTGTGAAAAAATCTTTGATGGAGTTTGGAATATGTAAAAACTACATTAATTTTCATTTTTGACTTTTTCAGCTTGTCCTTTTATCCTGAATACTTGTAGGTCAAGTCCAGTAGATAACTTTGGTTTGAATACTGTTATATAGCATGGTCATAGACAAAATAAAAGATTTATTTCTCTGTAAGAATGTTAATGTAATGTTTTAGTTGCATTCCTGAAATGAGAGGAATTAGGAAAGATAGAATTTGAAGAATAAAAGTTTAAAGAGTTTCATCAATATGAAAAAGATGCAAGGCTGAGTACATGTGTGTGACTACTGCCCTCTTTGGGTTAATACAAGGAACATGTTTTTTTAAATAATTTGCATTAAGATCTATCTTTCTTCTTTCAAAGGTGTTAAAATCATCACACAACAGGTTCAACCAAGTAAAATCCTACCCAAACCAGTGACAGCAACACTGCCCACCAGTAGCAATTCCCCTATTATGGTGGTTAGCAGTAATGGTGCAATTATGACAACTAAGCTGGTAACCACTCCTACTGGTAAGTTCTCTGGAGCATCAGTTCATTCATCATACATTCATCAAACAGTTTATCTGTGCCAGCAATATGCTTGGCACTGAGGATAATATAGAGGTTAATGGACAGTTCTTCACAGAGGGCTTTCTTGACTCTTGTGCCCCTGCTAACCTGAAATTAGTTTTCTCTTATTTTTTCTGGTGGTTCTCTGTTCTTTTCCTTTATAGCACCCAACACAATTTCTGATTAGGTAGCCAGTTGTTTGTTGGTTTATTTAATGTTGTTCTCCTTATTAGACCATAAGTTCTATGAAGGTAAGGGCCCTTCATTTATTTACCTGGGTCTGTAAGTAGGTATTCATTTAGGATTTGTTGAATGAATGAAAACAGTCCCAAACCCCAAGGATCTCACTCTCTTGAGATTAAGAGTCTTTATTACATTATAGTATAGTAAATAATACCATGAGACTAAGGATACCATTGTGCCTGGATAAAAGAACAATCAGCCTATGCTAGAAGAAGTGACAGTATAGAACATTTTAAATGGCACTACTCTTTGTGACCTTGAACAGATTACTTAATCTCTCTAAATCTTTTCCCTCATGTATTTAATTGGGATAATAATATCTATGCCATAAATACTAAATGAGATCAGTTACCTAAAATGTCCCCAGCATAGTGCTCATAGTGCTGTTAAAATTAGCCTTTACTATTATTTTAAATGTGTGTAACTCTTAACCAAACTTTTTGAGGAAAGCCAATATTTAGAGGACAGAATTTAAATAATGATAACCATACTCAAATTATGAGCTATTGTTTTATTGCCCAGTATGTAAAGATCTATACAAACATTGTACTTAATCTCCTTTAGGCTTTATTATCTCCATTTTCAGTGACTTGGCATCAAGTCATTGTAACTTGCTCAAAATAACATAGTCAAAAAGAGGTCTAACTGGGGTTTAAACCCATCAGATCTGTTTGACTCCAAAACCCGTGCTTTCTTTTTTTTAGGGGGGTGGGGGTAAAATATACATAACGTGAAATTTTATCATTTTCAAGATTTTAATTTATTGACATTAGGTCTGTTCACATTGTTGTGCAACCACAGCATCATCTATCTCCAGAACTTTTTCATCTTCCCAAACTGAAACTCTGTGCCCATTAAATAATAACTTCTTTCCCTCACTTCCCTGGCCCTCGCAACCACTGTTCTACTTTCTGTCTCTTTGTGAAGCATGTGCTTTTAAACATTGCTATTTTATTAAATTTATTGTATTTCCTCCAAACATTTCTCCATTTGGCACAGACAATAGTGCTACAGATATATCTTCATGTATATGTAAAGGTAATGGAAAGTAATGTGTCTGTGTTTTTGAGCCTGTTTTAGAATACATGTTTTTAAGACAAAAGCTTAATTTGAAGTTTTTTTCACTTATAATTCAGCAGATTCAAACTCTATGATCCATGTAGTTACTTTGCACTCAGAGGTGTTCAGCCTTCACACATTGGAACAGTAAGAGTTGTCTTGGGCCACTAAATACAATAAATACACAAACATACCTTTCATGATATTCGACACCACAGATAAGCAAATGTCCTCACAAAATCAACCTTCAGCCTGTGGGTTGGACACCCATGCTAGATTTCAGATTCCTATATATTCTTGTAACCAATTTAAACTAATTCTACTTAATGATCTTTCTCTCCTCTCTCCTAAAAATAATGGTTGTATTTTTGAATGGGGAATAACCTGATAAAATCTTTTGAGAGAATTGTTGAAAATGGCTATCACAGTGCCCTCCAAATCTAATGATCATAAAAACATTTTTTTCAATTGAAGGTGTTATCTTAATTGTTTTTTTCATTCTCCCCAAGGCTATTAATTCTTATTTTAGGAATAGCCTTTCTAGCCTGTGTGGTAGCTCACACTTGTAATACCTACTACTCTGGGAGGCTGAGGTGGTAGAATTGCTTAAGCTTGGGAGTTTGATATCTGCCTGAGTAAGGGTGAGAATCTGTTACTCTTAACAACAGAAAAATTAGCTAGGCATTATGGTGGATGCCTGTAGTCCCAGCTACTTGGGAGACTGAGGTAAGAGGATCTCTTGAACCTAGGAATTTGAGGTTGCTGTGAGCAAGGCTGATGCCGTGGCACTGCCTGAGTAACAGAGTAAGACTCTGTCTCAAAAAAAAAAAAAAAGAAAGAAAGAAAAGAAAAGAGGAATAGTCTTTCTGAGTTACTTAGACTCATCTAGTTAGTTTTTAATTCCTGTTTGGAAAAAGAGAGACATCTTAGAAGTAGTGGGAAAAGGCATAAAGTCATTTGAGAGAAATGAAGAAAATATTCAACCAGGTCAATTAAAGTTGAGGAAATATGTAGAGAACACTTCGGGCTGAAGAGAAATATTCCTGGCAACTTTTGGCAACTTCAACTTTAATCTTGACTAAAATGATGGAATAACACTTTAAAAGATTTAGAACTATATTTAGAGGGTAGCAGCATACAAAACAGTGAAAGTTTGTAAAATTTTAAGCAAACAATACTGCCTTATTTGCTGAGTGCTGACATTGGGTTTGGCACTGAGACAGCATAAAACGACACAGAAACCTTTAAATCTATAACAGAAATATCTAAAATGCTCTGGCAGGAAAGATGATTAAATTTAAGTTTTGTTTGGCATAGAACTAGTGGAAGAAGGGTAGTGGAAGAAAGGCATAGAGTTAGCTCTGCTTTCTCTTGGGTTTGTAATTTGATGCAACACACCACAAAATTTTATGTGTAAAATTAATTTAAATTGACTTGGCTATGGTACTTGCTATGCGTGTTGAAAACTGCCTGTAAAAATATAAATTAGGGTCTTAACACCTTGAAATTCCATTTTCAAATTAAAGCAGTGTAGATTATATTGAATTATACTTAAACTGTATATATTATCATTCTTCCATAAGTAATAACAAATTTTTCTTTTGGCTTTTCCCTTTTTATAGGCACACAAGCAACCTATACCCGACCAACAGTGAGCCCATCCATAGGTCGGATGGCTGCAACCCCTGGAGCTGCAACCTATATGAAAACTACCAGTGGTAGCATCATTACAGTAGTACCCAAAGCATTAGCTACCTTGGGGGGCAAGATAATTAGCAGTAATATAGCATCTGGTAGGTATATCTGAAATATATTAAAGGTATAGATGGCCTTTAGTGAGAGGAAAAAACATTTCACTATTAAAGGATTTTGTTTGAACTCAATTGTCTGCTTAGAAATCTAAAACTTTGGGCTCGGCGCCTATAGCTCAACCGGCTAAGGCGCCAGCCACGTACACCTAAGGTGGCGGGTTCGAATCCCCAGCCCGGACCTGCCAAACAACAATGATGGCTGCAACCAAAAAATAGCCGGGCGTTGTGGCGGGCGCCTGTGGTCCCAGCTACTTGGGAGGCAGAGGCAGGAGACTCGCTTGAGCCCAGGAGTTGGAGGTTGCTATGAGCTGTAATGCCACGGCACTCTACCCAGGGGGACAGCTTGAGGCTCTGTCTCAAAAAAAAAAAAAAAAAGGAATTTTAAACTTTTTTTTTCGTTCTTTTTTTTTGGGGTTTATTTAATGATTAAATATAGTATTTAGTTTTAGTATTAAATATTCATATATCAAGCTTTTGATAATTCTAAAATAGACCATTTAATTGCTTTTAATCAGAATGGAAAGATATGTTTTATATTTGCATAGAAATTTTTTATTCATAAAGTATTCTCTCATTTATCAATCCATTCAGACCCCATAAAACTCTGAGGTAGTTGGTATTGTGCTAAATTTAGAAATAAGACAGATTTGAGTTTAGAGAGATCAAATTGACCTGTCTGAAAGCATATAAGCTAGATAGTGGAAGAAGCAGTATTTGCTCATCTAAATAAGTTTGAATGAACATATTTCATAATTTCAATTACTGATATCACTTTAGCTTATTTTTTAAAAAAATTGAATATCGTTATTTGCTTTTCACCATTTATGTTAACTGTTTTGCTTTTTAAAAATATTTCATTTGGATAGTGAAGGCTAATCAACTGCCTGTTAAGAATCATACCTGGGTTTTATTGGCTCATTAATCCCTGCAATATTTGAGTTGTGGACCTTAACATGGCATCTGTTTTCATTGACTATTATTTTTTAATTATAATGATACAAATAAACTGATTAAGCAAGCCTTATGGACTTTGACTATCTACTATTTTTGTAGACCAGTCATATGCCCCAGGTGTGTTGTTCTAACATTTGGAAGTCAAGGGTTTGAAATTCCTGACAGTAATTTGATGTTGCTGATAACTCAGGGACTTAAAAAAAAAAGCTGGGCATAGTATTGGCATAAAGCACTATATTAAAATCTGACAAGTTGTTTGGCTTTGCTTTAAATGTGAGAAAAATCAAGTGTTTGCCAGACTAAGGAGGGTGAAACCAATAGAGAAAGAATCACCATACTCCAGCTTTTAGGAGAATATTTTAAATAACACAGTTAAATCTTAAATTATAACTTATTACTTGATGATATCTTTAGTATAAAACTTACTTTATATTATACCTTATTCCATTAAACATTTGTCACAATGTGATCATGATTTTTATTGGTAGTAGCTTTTTATGACTTTAAGAATTTTTCTTTATTTGTGTATATGAATTTATAGTACTATATAGCTTGAAGGAATGCTTATATCTTATAAAACCTGTTTTCAGACCTTATTCATAATGTAGTTACTTGTAGGAGGCAGATTAAAAAAAAAAAAAAAGAACTTTTCTTCTTGTTTGCTGTCAACTGATATTACATCACTATTCTCTTTATAAAGACAGTTTTCTTATTTTACAATATTTTTGTAGTTTTATACAATTATAGGTTTGTTTATTAATACAAAGGTTTGTTTATTAATACAAAATTAGAATTATAGGTTAGTTTATTAATAGTTTGTAAATCTTTTTATGTCTATTTATGATAAACTGATAAACCTGGTTGAATGAGTTTAGATGGTTTTCGGCCTTCACCTGTGAACAGATGTTAGTCTAGAGTTTCCCCCAAACAAAAAAGAAGTACTTTTCTTAAAATATACTCAAACATCTAGCTGTGAGAATCAGAAACAGACAAACAAAAAAATTCCTCTACATTGTGGGGGAATTTGGAAAATACAAAAAAAATATAAAGAAAATTTAAAACCTATGATTTTTACCACCTATAGGAATGTACTAAAATTTAGGTATATTTTCCATTTTTCCTATTTTTATCTATAAATGTATTTTGTGTATATTTGTATGTTTAAAAATTAAATTGGAGTCTAATATTTTTATCCTTCTTTAATATAGTAATATTGATTTTTTCTCATGCTAGTTAATGTCTTTTGGCATCTCCTTCAATGGCTACATAATATTCTCTCACATAATGTGCTATTTTTTTTAACCATTTGCTTATTGTTGAATGTCTTAGGTTACTTACAGGTATTTTGTGGGGGTTGTCATTATAAATAATCCTGTGATGTACATTATTACACATAAATTATTTTGTGAAGTTCTTAATTCCTCTGTATAATATCCTCAAAGGGAAAGAAGGATAATGCTTCCAAAGTACTTTCTAGAAAGGTCAGATCTTTCTTTTTACTAGAATAAGCAACTAAATGGAAGGCATTATTGTCTTTATAGTTAACTCACACCTTAACAGAGTCAAATACAGGTATTCATATGTGTATGTATGAGATCATCAGATTTGTAGGTTTTGTTGTGAGCTTTGTTGAGGGTTGAAGAATCACACACATTTTATTATAGCAAAAGATTGGATTCTTTGGAAGTCTCTTATTATCATGACTTTGAGGGCATTGTGACAACCATGGCAAAGGCAGGACTTTATTTTAATTCTCATGTGTCCAGGCAAGGAGCTGTTGTTTATATACTTTTTCATTCATTCATTCTTTGATCAAAGCAACATACAACATTACACAAGAGATTGAAATCAGATGGATTTAAGACTCTATAAATAGTAAAATCTGAGCCAATAAATTTGTGTTCTTCTGAAAGCCTACCTACCATAATGCCTGAATTTTTACCTATCATCTCTTTAAAAAATAAGAATCTGGCCAGGTGTGATGGCTCACATCTATAATCCTAGCACTCTGGGAAACTGAAGCAGGTGGATCACCTGAGGTCTGGAGTTCAGACCAGCCTGAGCTAGAGCAAAACCCATCTCTACTAAAAAAAAAAAAAAGAGAGAGAGAGGGCGGTGCCTATGGCTCAAAGGAGTAAGGTGCTGGCCCCATATGCTAGAGGTGGCAGTTCAAACCCAGCCTCAGCCAAAAACTGAAAGAAAAAAAAAAGAGAGAGAGAGAGAAAACCTGGTGGGGCATTGTGGCAGGTGCCTATAGTCCGAGCTACTCAGAAGGCTGAGGCAAGAGGATCACTTGAATCCAAGAGTATGAGGTTGCTATGAGCTATGATGCCAGGCACTCTACCCAGGGTAACAGAGTGAGACTGTCTTAAAAAACAAAGAATAAAAAATAAGAATCTCTGGAATGTATCAGTATTTTACCTCATTATGACCTAAATGGGATTATAATATTTGCACCCATTGTGCTTTAACTTTTATAAGTAAAGACTATGTAGGTGGGTTCTCTGATTTGCTATGAGCTACATGCTGTGCCAGGTGCTATGATACATAGGGTTGTATATGAGTTTTATTCTCTGAATGTTAAAATGAACTTGTATAATTCTGTTATAACATGAGAATTATAGACCAACTACTATGAAAGCATAGAAGATGACTTTTTTAAAGTATTACTTCTTTTTTCAGTATAATGTACATATAGTATACATATAATATACATATAGTATAATGAGATATAGATACATGCTTACAGGAATTTCAGTCATTTATCATTGATAATTCTATTAGAAATTATAATTTTTTTAATTTTTTTTTTTTTTTTTTTTTTTTGAGATAGAGTCTCACTATGTCTCCCTCAGTAGAGGGCCATGGCGTCAGCTCAGAGCAACCTCAAACTCTTGGGCTTAAGTGATTCTCTTCTCTCAGCCTCCCAAGTAGCTGGAACTACAGGCACCTGCCTTTATTATTTCTTATTTTTTGCTTGCAGTTGTCATTGTTGTTTAGCTGACCCAAGCTGGGTTGAACCCGCTAGCCTCGGTGTATGTGGCTGGTGCCATAACCACTATGCTATGGCTGACAAGCCGAAATCATATTCTATTTTAATAAAATAAATTAGACTTGCTTTTCTTTGTGGTATTCCCTCTTCTTTTATTTTCTAGCATTTTCTTAAACTTGTGGACTTGATTTGCAACTTGTAAACTTCTATAGTGGAAAGGATTAGACATTTTAGTTGATATAAATATAAGTCACTTGTTAAGCCAGTTTTGTTAAAAAGTGGTCTTTTTGTTAAGTGGTCTAACTTTGGTGTAGAGTTAAAGGCATGGTTTACATTTCCTGGAGGTAGTTTTTAATGCTTACTTTTTAAAAACACTTTTCATTAAGCAAATATTTGCTGAGGCTGCAGTGTCAAAAGATTCTACACAGTTAATCACATATGAGGAATTGGAGTTAATTGTTATATTTGGTAAGTGAATAATGGGCAGTTTGGTTTTTGTGGTTCTAACAGCTCGCTATTCAGAGAGTATAAATAAAAGAAAAAACAGTTGTTAAACTAGTTCATAGCTAAAAGTACTTTTTAATGTAACTTCTGAATATGTTATCTTAGACTAATGAGACATTGGATAATGGCCAGTAGTATATTATAAAAATATTTTTATAACAATATTGCCAAAGTTAACATATAACAGAATATTTATATTCTTAATGCAGTTTTATTTCTAAAACTATAGAAAGGATTGTTAAGATTATCCAGTGGAAAATAATAAAATTTTGCTTATTTTTTCTTTTTGAGAATGTATTAGTTATGTTTGTACTGAATACCTATTGTGTGCTTCATCATTTGATAAATTATATGTAAGCCTATAAAAGAAGAAAATGTCATGCCTATTTTTGTAGGCACAGGAAATTATCCGAGCATATGTAGTATTGGGACTGGTATACTCAAGGTCCAATGTGGAAACAAGCATACTGAGGGATAGGTATATGTTGGATAATCCTAAAAATTAAAGTCTGGCAGAGGGAGTTTGAGCTTTATGTGGTAGACCATGGGAAGCCATAATGAAGAAGTTATTTGTTAGACTACAGTTTATGGTGTTAGAAACCAATTAGATTGAATTGGTAGATTAAGAGCCAAATTATGGCTCAGTGCCTGTAGCTCAAGCAGCTAGGGCACCAGCCACATACACTAGCGGTGGTGGGTTTGAGCCTAGCCTGAGCCTGCCAAACAGCAACGACAACAGCCAAAAAATAGCCAGGAATTGTGGCAGGTGCCTGTAGTCCCAGCTACTTGGGAGGCTGAGGCAGGAGAATCGCTTAAGCCCAAAATAATTTGAGGTTGCTGTGAGCTGTGACACCATGGCACTCTATGGAGGGCAACATAGTGAGACTTTGTCTCAAAGTATAAAAATTTAAAAAAAGAGCCAGATTATGTAGGATTTTGAAAGATAAGAGGGGAAGCTGGAACTAGGGATGCAGAAATTAGGAAAGTTTTAAACCAGTTTGACATATTACAGGTTCTTGGCATGAGAAAGTTATTTTTTTTTTAAGGATATTTTGGTATGACAGGGAGCACCAAAACTGTTTGCATGATAAAGAAATTTGAAATAAGAATACAGTGTAGGGAATGAGATAAGGTTTTTGAGCTAGGACACTTAGAACATTTTGCAAGAGGGTGTGTTGGTGACAAATTGAGTTCATTCATAGAAATCTTTGAAGAACTTGAACTGTTATTGAGTAATTGCCATCCACTGTGCTAAGCACTGAGAAATCATTGATATAACAAAGGTACAATATGGAGTTTAAGGGGCTTTCACTTTGCTTAGGACCACAGGAAATTAATACAGGAATGAAACAAAGATTTGCACCAGAATTTCCAACCTGGACAGTTAGAATAGGAAGCATAAATCTGACAGGTGGTAGATTTGATAGGTAGAAGAGAAACAGATTATGGAAGGATTTAGGGAAGAGAGCAACGTAATATATGTCTGGATCAGTAGATACAGAACTATTAGATCCTAATGTTTGAACTTATAAATTTATGTATATGTCTCTCTCTATATATATACACATATATATGTGTATGTGTATGTGTATATATATATATATGAGTTTTACCCTTATACTCTGGAGAGTATATGCTGCAGATTACAAAAGCACACAGTGAATCTGTGACTTGGTCTGTATACTCTGTTTTAGTCATACAGAAATACATGGTTTATTTCATAAGTTATCTGTGGGGTCTATTGTAGTATGAATTTTGATAAATGCTTCTTTTTTCTTTTTCTTTCTTTTTCTTTTTTTTTTTTGTTTTTTTTTGTTTTTTTGTTTTTTTGAGGTAGAGTCTCACTATTTGTTGTTGTTGTTGTTGCAGTTGTCATTGTTGCTCAGCAGGCCCAGGCTGGGTTTGAACCCACCAGCCTCAGTGTATGTGGTGGGGGCCGAGCCAATAAATGCTTCTTATGTTCTTTTTTGAAGAGTTTTCTTACCACTCTAGTCATATAGATATAAAACTGAGTTTGGGGCAAATGCATATTGTGGAATAGAGATTTTAATCTTTTCATTTAGCTAGAAAAGTTAGTTAGAAAAGGAACATTGATGGAGAAACTGATAGTGATGTTTAGATTCTGAGTTTTATATCTAAGTCCGTAAATTCTAAAAAGATGACTGCTTCAAGGATTCAATTCTTAATATTCTTTCATGCTAGGATGACTTATAACTTACTTATTCAAGCCTTCATTTTCTTCCTTATGACAACTTTCATGTCATCTAGGTAGGACATTGATTATATGTATTAATTGTGTACAGCATTAATAGAAATAACCAAATATCGCTAGTCCTTAACTCAGGCCTCCTTTTCTTCCCCCTTCTCTAAGGAACGACTACCAAAATTACTACAATCCCAATGACTTCCAAGCCCAATGTGATTGTTGTGCAAAAGACTACAGGAAAAGGAACGACCATTCAAGGCCTCCCGGGCAAAAACGTTGTCACAACATTGCTAAATGCTGGAGTAAGTAAGAGCTTGAATTACAGACTCAGCAACACTGAGGATTTTAAAGACCCACTACACAAATAATTCCATAAGGACTTTAGAATCCCGCAATGGCCTGAATGCTTGATTTATCACTACTGTGATATAATAACTGCTAAAACACCACCAACTCATGCTATTTTTCATAGTAATTTCTAAAACATGTTGCTCATACATGCTTATAGCTAAGTTGCTTATGACCATGATTTAGATGCTTGGCTTAGTCCAGATAGAGAATTCCACTTGCTAAACTTGCAGGAAGACTTCTGTTGGAGCAGTTTTCTTCTTGGTTATGCCTAGTAGATAACTGGCCTAGAATTTGGCCTAGGCTGGGCAAAGGGAAATATTTGGGTCAAAGATTAAATAATTGATGGAAATTTGTTACTTTCATGATTTCTTTTTTTCATTTTTTATCTTTTTGAGCTAGTAAAAACCAAATCAAATAAATAACAGATTGATCAATAGTTTCAAAGGCAGTGACAAACCTGGGCTTCATCTCTTAATATTGTCATTGTTTGACCTTGAATGACTTACTCAACATCTTTCATTCTTAATTTTCTCATTTGTACATTGTACATTGTAGGATTATGATCTTTATTAGTGAGGTTGTTCAGTAACTGGGGGCTGTACCTGGTATGTAGGAGGTCTTTATTGGTTTTCTTTTTACAATGGTTATTCTTGATACTTAACTGTTTAGGTTTGCCTCACATTACTTGAAAATGGAATGCTGTACTTCATTTAAGTAGATCTCACAATAGCTTCTTAGGCATCACAGTCATCGTAATGTTGGTAGGAGTCTAGCATTCAATTTTTTCAACATTTGGGAAAACATAGATTCCTAGCCTGAATTTACACAGTAAGCTGAAGTAAAGCCAAGATTAGAATTAAGATTTTTAGAACTCTTCATAATGTAGTTTGCAATTTCATATAACTTTATAACTTGATATACATATAAGAGGGGATGCTTAGTACTGTAGGCCCTTATGGACACAAAGATCTAACAGTTATATGTGAATCATAGTTCATAGATATATCTGATGACATAGGCAATGCTAGTAAAACAAGCAGATCAACATAAAAGATCATCTTCTCTACTACATAGGCATGTACACCTATATTTACGACTTGCTCACCTGTGCATGCCCACAGCCCACATCAAAAGAGCTTTTCAAAAAACAGCTTGCTAGTTGGTTTTGTTTGGCTTTGAATGAGTCATCATACTTGGGCAGGGCCCATTGAGGTATTTAATAGATGTTTGCTTATTTGCAGACTAGTGGCATATGAACTTGAGTTTTTTCCAGAGATGTTGCTGTGAAGGGTATGTGTATGTTGAAGTAAATAATGATATAATTGGCAGACACATTTTCAAATTTCCCTTAGATAGTTACAGTGATAGTTAAATTTATGATTTTTATAATCATGTTTAGCTGTAAATTGACAATGGTTGCTTTTTAGACAGCTCACCTGGGTACTTTGTTTTTACTGGCTAAGTTTAAATGGCCACACATTTAGATGATGATAACTAAAAATTAAGAAAAACTGGTAAGGTAAAAATCTCAGATCCTTTCCTTTCCTTTTTAATTTTATGGATTTTAGTTTTTTAGTAAAATCACTATATTTGAATTTAATTTTGTTCAGCCAGAATAAAAAGATGTTGAGTCCATGAATGACCAGAAAATGGTACTGATAAATAAAGCAGGTGAAAGCACAGAAAATGGTGAAAAGTTAATGTGTTTAAGCTATATAGTTGATAGACTAAAGTGATATTGGTAATATACTAATAGTAAAAATGGGAAACACCCCAAGTTTTTCCTTCCTTTTTTTCTATATAACCTTAGAAAGAATGTTAACATCTGTGCTGATTTCATCTCCTGCCTATACTTTTTCACATAGACATTCTGCTATATATCCTTTATAAAATTTAAAACTAAGAAAATTTATTTTGTGTGTGTACATTTAAGTACTCGTATAGTACATAGTAATCTTTTTTATTATGTAAATATTCATTTAAGGTAAACTAGAAAATAAAAGTGAATGTAGAGAGTGAGACCTGTAATCCCAACACTTAGGGATAGGAATTTTTTTACAGTTTACTATATATTCTTCCATAGTTTTCTGACCTTATTTTAATATATGTACTACATGAATGTGACAGTGTAGTAAATATTATTACATGAAGTAATTTTTAAAAATCACTCATCAGGAAATAATTCCTTCTGTGGACAGAAAGTCAGATCACTTTTATTAAGATAATTTCAACAAAGTCTAGAATTTTTAATCACGAAGAAACATCATACTTTGTTACATAATCTACAGTTCCTTTCCTGTCTTTCTGGTAAAATCTTTCTCTGATTTTTCAGTGAGGACAGTTTTTATCATTTAAATGCATACAAATCTCTTCTGTAATCATTGGCTTTGATTTAGGGAGAAAAGACTATTCAGACGGTGCCAACAGGAGCAAAGCCAGCTATCATCACTGCTACAAGACCCATCACCAAAATGATTGTAACTCAGCCAAAAGCAATAGGTTCCACAGTTCAGCCAGCAGCTAAGATCATCCCAACAAAAATTGTTTATGGACAGCAAGGGAAAACACAGGTATGCTCTTAGTTACAGTGATTTTTCTTGACTTCTACATATTTTAAATACCTAAAATTTCCTGGTCAAAATTTGAAAGGAAAAGTAAGCAATTCTTTTAAAAAATCAGATTTTTGAAAGTTACAAATGAATATATAAAATTACTCTTCTATTGTCAAAACATGTGTTTCTCTTCTTCAGTACTTTTTTAAATGTCTAAATATTTGTATTACTCTGTGAGCAAAGATTGTGGGAGAGAATTCCCTTGGAATGAAATTTTTTGAAACTGTATGTTGTTATTTGAGGGGTGGTGGATGGTTGAGGGAGAATGGTAGTTATTCCAAATCTCTGAAAAAATATTTATTTTTCATAAGCTAATATACCCTTCAAAAGCATTTTATATACATCTGAAATTTACTTTATTTGAACCCCACATAATGGAGAAGCTAGAGATCTATTTAATTTTTCTTTTTGTTATTATTTTATTTTTTATTTTTTATTTTTGAGATGTTTAATTTTTCAACCAAGAGATGACAAAGGAACTTTTTTGAAAATTTGTTTAGGAATTTGAGGCTCAAGACTTAATCATATATTGCTAGGCTACTAGTTATTTTTGTATGTACTTTAACTCCTTTTCTCAGAATATCAAAGGAAGCAGTATTAACTTTGTTTATTTTATTTTTTTAGTTTTCGAGACAGTCTCAAGCTGTCACCCTGGGTAGAGTGCCATGGCATCATAGCTCACAAAAACCTCCAACTCCAGGGGTCAAGCCTTCCCCTTGCCTCAGTTTTTCTATTTTTAGTGATACGGGATCTTGCTTTTTGCTCAGGCTGGTCTTGAACTCATGAGCTCAAGTAATTTACCCACAAACTGATAATTTGCCTTCAGAATCTTTTCCCTCAGAATCTCAGAATTGTAGTCATAGAGTTTATGATATCTAAAAGATTACTTTTGTTACAAGTTCAAGTTGCCTATTGAGTTCAACTGTAACAAATTGATTTGCTTCATCATCTAAGGTGTAATCGTATTTTTATTCTCAAATTCTTGGAAATTGGTAATTTAAGAGTCTAGAAAGGTTTAGAATCTTATGTATAGAAATAAAAATAATTGTGGTGGGTAATTTTTTTTTTTGTTCAGTTGAAGTTAAGTCAATCAGAATTAACTCCTAGAGTTCAAAGTGGAAAGGTCCCATGTGAAAATTTTCTCCCATTTCACTTGTTTCAGCGTCTGTGATTTTTACTTCCACAAGGAGTTGATTCACCACATATTCCAAGTTGCTTCTGACAGTTATCTAAATCAGCAGTTCTCTGGCAGTTTCTTCAAAGATTATTTAGGTTCCAACCAAGTTTACTTTATGCAGGTGTGTCAGTTAAGAATTTCATTTGGAAGCCAGGCATGGTGGCTCACACCTGTAATCCTAGCACTCTGGGAGGCTGATGTGGGTGGATTACCTGAGCTCACAGGTTTGAGACCAACCTGAGCAAGAGTGAGACCACATCTCTAAAAATAGTCGGGCACTCTGTAGGCTCCTGTAGTCCCAGCTACTTGGGAAGTTGAGGCAAGAGAATCACTTGAGTCCCAGAGTTTGAGGTTGCTATGAGCTATGATTCCACAGCACTCTACCCAGGACGACAAAGTAAAACTCTGTCTCCAAAAAAAAAAAGAATTTCATTTGGTACCTAATGAAAAGGAACTTGAGGGTTTGAACAGATTAGATTTTTATTTTTACTATATTAATAAAAGTTCAGAGGGAAGAAGTTCTGGACTGATACTCAGCTTAGAAATTCTACTGGGGCCAAGGTGTGGTGGCTCACACCTGTAATCCTAGCACTTGGGAGGAGGGTAGATTGCCTGAGCTGAGGCCAGCCTGTGCCAGAGCAAGACCATCTCTAAAAAAAAATAGCCAGGCATTGTGGTGGTCACCTATAGTCCCAGCTACTTGGCAGGCTGAGGCAAGAGAATTGCTTAAGCCCAAGAGTTTGAGGTTGCTGTGAGCTGTGATGCCATGGCACTCTAACAAGGGCAACAAAATGAGACTCTGCCTCCAAAAAAAAAAAAAATGGGAGGAAGGAAAGAAGGAAAAGACAGAGAAAGAGAGAGAGAGAAAGAGAGAAAGAAATTCCATTGGGAATGTAAATTCCTTGTGTCTTTTTGTTCTGCCATCCTCAGCTTTTGGCTGTTATTCCACAGGGTGTCCTACAAGTTGCCATATATAGGGAAGATGAGAAATTGTAGTTAAATGTATCTTTATTTACAAACTATTCATTACACAATTTTACAGAGAAGTGGTCAACTTATAGAAAATATTTTGTAAAATTGTGTAATGAATACTTTATAAATAAAGATATGTTTAGCTATAATTTCCCATTTTCCTTACACATATGGCAACTTGGGGACATGGTACTAGACAGCTAAAAGGTTGTAAAATGACTACTAAAGTAATTGTAGGCAAGAAAAAATGGGCATAAAGGTTATTGGTCACAGTCAGGGCTGTTGCATTCTGGCGTGTACCACGTAATAATGTTGTCTATGGCTTAACTGTAACTTGTCTGTAGATTGAATCAATCTTTGATGAATAATACTATACCCAAAGCATAATAAATAACAGAACACTATTTTTCATCCCAGAAAAATATTCTGTGACTTGGAAGTTTAGCATTTTAAATGGTACTCTAAAATTTCACCTGGATATATTTTTTATTTTCTTCTAGGTACTTATTAAACCCAAACCAGTGACATTTCAAGCCACAGTTGTCAGTGAACAAACAAGACAGCTGGTAACAGAAACATTACAGCAAGCATCTAGGGTAGCAGAGGCTGGTAATTCATCTATTCAGGAAGGAAAAGAAGAACCACAGAGTTATACAGATAGTAGTTCCTCTTCTACGGAATCCTCCCAGAGTTCCCAAGGTAAGATCTATTTAATTTCTGATTTATGTAAGTACTACTGAGATAGTGCTTTAGTTTCATAACAGAAGTTGCTTCTAAGGATTTTATAGCAAACATGTATGCTTTGGTTTGTCACTGTTTTTGATTTTATTTTGTTTTGTTTGATGTTTAATCAGTTAACTGAAATTTTATTTTTGGTAAAGCTTGCCATTCTTTCTTGCAGACATATGTTCATCAAATAATTTGTAAACTTTCAGTGATGATTTTGTCAGGTAAATAATGTTAAACTGGACAGAGCTATTATTCCCAGAGGGTAATTTTCACAGTTTTTCTATTTGCTGTTGATATGTATGGAAAGAAGTATCCAAGAAAGTGAATAAACCTTTTGAAATGGTTGTTGCTTTGAGAAAGAATCAAGGTAGCCATAAGTAGACTTTAAGTGAGCTGTAAGTAGGGTGACCATATATTCCAGTTTGCATGGACACAAGTCTTAGTTTATGTCTGTTGTTCTGGCATAATTATTAATAGTGTTCCTTTTAGAGTCAGAAGTATTCCAGGTGATACTTGTATGGTTGTTCTAATTAGAAAGAAGGAACTATGAAACTAGACTCCATGTCAGGGAAGTTCTTTGTCTTCAGTGCTTTTTTAATTTTGTTATTTTTCTTTTAGGGAGTCTCTTGAAGTAAACTCATGATCATAACCCTTGAAACATATAAATTTAATACTCATGTCTCTCAGTTATCTTAACTGCTCTTATTTGTCAGGTGGTATGTTTATGTCTATGCTTATGTGCTCTGATGCATTAAACACAGCTGTTTCTTTTCCCTTATTTTTTCCTCGCTGTCTGCATTCCCCTTCCCTGCCTTTCCATGATTCTTGCTGGAGTGCTTTCTTAGCATCTTTACTTTTCTAGTACACAGTCTTCATTTGTATAAACACTGTTATTTTAAATCTTTTTGGTTGAGTCTTCCCAGATTAATTTTTCTTGATTCATATTGTTCATATTGCTGATTAATCCATCAATTTAATTTCATAATTATTTATCAATTTCTACTGTGTACTGATTGTGCACAGTACATAGTACACAACACAATTGTGCTAGACCCTATAGCGGTAGAGTAAAATATAGTTCTAACCCTCCAAAGGCTTAAAATCTAGCATAGGAGAGTAAAAAAAATACAACTACATTCCAACATAAGAATTTTATTAGTAACAAACAAACAAAAAAAATGCCAAAGATTAAAAGTTCACATTTCATGAGAGAGGATGAGAAAGCTTCATGAAGGGGAGGTAGCATTTGAAATGTTTCTGAAAACACATCAATTAAAAATAAATGGAAAAGTTGATTTTTAACAAAGAATATGGCACTTACTTTAGAAAATGGTTATTATCAGTGATAGTAATATTTGCTAAGATTCACTTTATTATTCTGTATTAATTATAAATCAAGGTATGTGGTAGTTGCACTTGAGTGATGCTTATTCCCCAGTCATTGCTTTTGATTTGCTGATTAATATTTACAGAGTCCATTCATATGTCAGTTGACTAGCTGCCTTTCCTGCTTTTATTAAAGTTACTGTTCCTTGAGTAATACTGGCTTTTTTTTTTAAATCTCAAGAAATATTTTTATAGAGAGCAGGTAAAATGTTTAGCCTTATGAGTTGATACTGAAAAGGGGATATGAATGGTATGTACACAATCTCAAATTGTCCTTTGAAATTGGTAATTTTTTCCTAAGGGAGCTATAATAACCCAATTAGTACTTCCAAAACATGGCATTTCATTTGTTGATTCTTCAGTTTTCATGCTAAGAATGGTATAAAAGTTTGCTTCATCTTTTTTTTTATTCTATGTTTTTCATCATGTATAACTTTTTTTAAAATACACTAGAACCTTTGTAAATTGACCACTCAAGGAACTGTAACAAACTGGTCAACATACAAGGGTGATCATAAGGAACAACTAGGCCTACTGTACTGATATATAATAACTTTTATTAGAAAATATCATACAAAATCATACATGATCAAAACACAGTAAAATCCTATATATAGTATGATATAAAATTAATACATTTACTGTTTTCTCATGGTTTAATAATTCTTTCTGGAAAAAAAAGGGTCTGTTTCTTATTCTTATTACAAACATGAGTGGGGAAAGCCCTTTTAATGCTGGCTATATCACTCAGCATACCTGGGCATTTTTCCCCAGCAAATGACTTCAATTGCATTATCAGATGCCTGACATCCTCTTCCTTTGGAGTCCCTGCGATTTCTATGTCATTCTCACTTGCTTCTTCCACTTCATCAGCAGCTTCGTGCACTTTTACACTGGTCTATACTCTGATCAATATCACTTGGAAAATTGTTCCTGGGTCAGGTCCATACAGGTTGCCACCTCATCATCCATTGCAACAAAACCTTCAAAATCTATTCCTTTGAATTCTGCCATAGGACATAGATTGTTTGATGGGGTCAAAACATCATGCTCTTGGGTTTTGACAAATCCAACTTTCTTTAAACACTTCTATATTATTTCTGGCTGAATCTTTTTCCAAGTAGAACTGATCAGAAGACAGCATCTAGAACATTAGCTGATGCAGTGGATGAAGTTGCTTCTGCAGGTGGACCACAGGTTGATGTTTTAATAATGACCCACTGTAAGGAGGTGGGCTCAGTAGTACATTTAATATGTTTTGATGATACCTTGGTGAAGAGGTTGGACTTTTGAGGTCATGTTTGCAAGCAGAAATTTTAGTGTCATATTTGTGAGATGATTCACTTGCCAGTGGCCAGGACAGTTGTCTACTTTCAAGTAGAATAGACAGACCATTTCTTCTTCATGTTTTAGCACCTGCTACCCACTCCTCAAATAGGGCACCAGTCTTCCATGTGCATTTGTTTGATCTCCAAGTGTTGGGGAGGTGTTTAGGCTTCAGGTTCTTGAGTGCTCTTGGCTTTGCTGATTTACTGATCACCGAAGGCTTAAGTGTCTCTCTGGTTCAGGTAGCACAAAGCAGAACTATAAAAGTTCTTTGGAAAGTTTTCTGCTCTTAGCATTTGTCACTTTTCATGATGAGGCTCCTATCAGGCATTACTTGGAAAATGCCTGCACTCAGCATTAAAGATGTCATCATCTGGGGCCAGGTGTAGTGGCTCACACCTATAATCCTACCACTCTGGGAGATTGAGGCAGGGGGACTGCTTGAGCTCAGGAGTTTGAGACCAGCCTGAGCAAGAGCAAGACCCTGTCTCTAAAAATGATGGGGTGTTGTGGTGGGCACATATAGCTACTCGGGAGGCTGTGGCAGGAGAAGTGCTTGTACTCAAGAATTTGAGGTTACTGTGAGGTATGATGCCCCGGCTGATGTTGCCAAGGGCAACAAAGTGAGACTCTGTCTCCAAAGGGGAAAAAAAAGATATCATCATCTCTGAAGCCTCTGGAGAAGAGAAGTCTGGGAACTTTTTTTTTTTTTTTTTTTGGAGACAGAGTCTCAAGCTATTACCCTGGGTAGAATGCTGTGGCATCATAGCTCACAGCAACCTCTAACTCTTGGGCTCAAGCGATCCTCTTGCCTCAGTTTGTCCATTTTTAGTAGAGATGGGATCTTGTTTTTGCTCAGGCTGGCCTCTAGCTCATGAGCTCAAGCAATCTACCTGCCTCCCAGAGTGCAGATTACAGGCATGAGCCACCGTACCTGGCCAGAAGTCTGGGAACTTTTTGATGAACTCTTCCACAACTTCTGCTGGAATTTCATTGGATTCACCACACAAGACTTTCTGGGAGACCTTGTGTTGCAGTTTAAATTTCTAAAGCCAACCACTTGATGATTGGAAATCTGTCACCCCAAATTTATGTGCAAATTTTTTAGCAACTTCTTGGATCTTTGGTCTGGATATTCAGGCATTAACTGCCCTCATTTGTTTAAACCAGCTTAATGTGGCTTCATTGACTTCATCAAGGAAAGTTTTCTTCCTTTTCTGCTGTAGGTCTCCCCTTTCCTTCCATAAATGTTCCATTGTCTTTCTTTGGCCACTACTTTCCAGAAAATATTGAGGATCAACCTTTTTCTTCAATGTCCTTTGAGTTCTTTGCTTTGGGCCATCATGTCTTCATTAACTATAAAATTTTTCAGTAGTTGTAGGATGTACCTACAATTCAGACCAGTCCTTCACGTTGAAGGATGTGATAAACAATATGATGTTAGGCCTAATCCAACACATGGTAATAATAAAACATGAAAAAAGAACATACTAAAGAAAAAATAATACAATTGGGGGCAAAGCCCATGGCTTCTACCCTTTGGTATAAAATGGACTCAGCTAGTCACATTACAGAAGGTAAATTATTATTGTGTGTAACAGTCAAAATGATTAAGATACAACATGTAGAAGTAGTCAATAGATAGATGTCACTCTTCCATTCAGTACATGTGGAGCTTATCCAGTTTATGAAAATTAGGTCAATTTGAAATGGTCCATGTAGAGAGGTAGTCATCTGCGGAGGTTCCTATTGTGTTCTGTAGTAACAGAAAATTTTCACAATTCAGGGTAGGCATAGTTGACTATAAAGCCAGTTTTTGTAATCTGTTTGCTGTCACCCTCCCCCGAAATCTCCTTGTATAGTTATTTACTACGTTCTCACAAAAACTAGGTCTGAGACTGTACATATATGCTGTTATTTAAAGAGAAAGGGATTAAAATTTTGGTCAATCTAAGAGCATGATGATTTTTAAAGTATATGAGACCCATACATACCAAGAATGTAAGCACTACATAGTAGTTCATTTTTCTTTCACATTACTGTTTTTTTAGTTTTTAGCTTATTTTTTTCCTTTTTTAAAGTAATTTTTTTGGATATAATTTAAAACTTACAGAACTATTATAAGAATAATAAAAAGAACTCCTGTGTTTTTTACTTAGATTTACTACCTTTTTACATTTTTTGCTCTATTTGCTTTGTTGTTGATTCTCTGCTCCCTTCCTTCCACTATATGCATGTTTTTTGTTTTGAGACAGAGC